TTTGCCAGTCTGTCTTTTGGCCTTGATTGTAACATGAATTATTAATTAGACATTTATTGAACATGATAAGACCATAACATCGCTTCCTCTTGATTTTCAACGGATTTAAAAATAATTGGCAGTTAATGATTTAATTTAAAAATGGATAATCAAGACAATGTGTGCTATCATATTCATAACAAAGGTAGCAATAACAATTTCCAAACAGCCCTAGCATTGTTCGGAAGGATACTCAAGACTTTGTTATCGTAACAATGGTAGAAATAAAAATTTAGACTACTCTACACTGTAACCCAGGTATCGTTTAATCTTGTGTATCCAGCACTAATTTCTTTTACATTCGGTTAATATCCAATCTTTGTTTAAAAATTTGTAAAAACTGTTTAAAATCACCATAAATCGTTTAATTTGTACTTCTGTCCAGTTTAAAGCTGACCATTAAATTTTGATAATGAATGTCCAATTTACAAGTGTTTAATTTCTCAATCATTGTTAAAAAATAAACAACCCAATTGATTAATGATGTATAATGATTAATTTTTAAACAGTGATCAGGAAATTAAATACTTGTAAATTGGACACTAATTATCAAAATAAATCAGTCAACTTTAAACTAGACACATGTACAAATTAGATGATTTTTGGTGATTTTAAACGATTTTTTCGAATTTTTAAACAAAGATTTGATATTAAACGAATGTGAAAGAAATTAGTGCTAGATACACAAGATTAAACGATACCTGGGTTACAGTGCTATATTTCAAACATTAACAACTTCGCTCAGAATGAAGTAATATTGACTGAAATTGTCAAAAAATTCCCCTTTCATTATCTAGTTTTTAACTATTAGAGCAAGACCTCTCAGCTCTTTATCTAAATCTTATATATAGCTGGTAATTACTATTTAAGGAAAGATTTAAAGGAAGTCTGTTTACTAAGGGCGAATGACTCTACTTTTTTAACCTTAAAATAGACAATAATAGGTCGAAAACCACATATTGATATAATATGAATGTATATAAAGTGATTCGTATTCAATTTTTGAAACAATTATTGTAATTTATAATCAATTATGTTAACCGTGCAAATTAAACGGCAGTCGTTTACGCCTGCTTAGTCCATTGAAACACTATTGTTTTTGTTCGGATTATTATTCTTATTATTATTATTATTTTTCCATTTGAGCATATCTCAGAAACTACTTGTCAGATCGATTCGAAGTCGTCGGTTTTTACTGGGAAAGTGGGTTTGACTTAAATTTTAAAGCTATTTCCAACGTTCTGCGACAATGCGAAATGTCCGAAATCACCGAAGTTGTCGTTTTTCGATATTTTGCCGTAATGTTATCAATAATTGTCGGATTGTAATATTTGATACATTTTGACATAGCCAGAGACAAGGCACATAGCTACGGTTCTTTGGATTTTTTATTTTCGACGAATCTTAGGAGATATTAGGCGCCAAATTTTGAACATTTAAATTTTTACAAAAAACTTTTTTATTAATGAATATTTTTATGTGGTATTTTACTTAGGGTTAAAGAGTCATCTGATTTGACCAAAAATGGCAACATTTTTTGCCACCGTATTTTTCCTTGGCCCCCCATTGGCTAATTCAGTTTTTCAGTCCTGGATTAATTATTTATTGTTCGATTTGTATAAAACAAAGTTCATATGCTCCGTGGTCCAAAATGTCATTTTTTTTGTTACCGGTACATTTTCCTTTCGATAGCGGAAGTGACGTAAATTTAGCAAAAACTGCAAATTTGACAGTTCGGTACCACTTTTTGAAAGCAAATATTATTTTTTTCAAATCTGGTATGACTGAAAGGGTGTGCCCTGTTAAGGCTAAAAAATAAACGCGCTCAGTTTTTTTAATTTTTATTTTGTTTTCGGATTATTTCGATTTAAAGGCGAAAAAAGGTGAAAAAATGAGCTATTCAAAACCCATTCAGGCTTTTCATATTTTAATATATTTTTTTGAAACTTTCATAAACTAGTAGCAATAATCCATACGAAGAGAATGTATGTGAAAATTAGTTTGTAATATGAGCAGTTGCCGAGAAATGGGCAATTTTGCATGAGTCACCCTTTACGCTAGTTTGCCTGTAAAAGAGTCAATTATTATTCGATTTTCATAAAAGTTACACCATTTGATGCGTAATGTCAATTGTAACACGGTCAAACCAATTTAACATTTCCAATGTCACCGGAAATGACGTAATTTGGGCAAAATTTTTATTTATAGCCTTCAAAACCAGTATTTTATTCAAATGAGTCGTATTTGTTATGTGTTTAAAATTTTGATATTTGATCCCAATCAACCAATAGAATGAGCCCATACAATCATGTAGGTATCACAAAATGGTTTCTAACTTGTTCAGTTCAACAGGTAACTTTTCAAGGTTTTGGGTCCATAAAAGTGTTAATCATTATTCGATTTTCATAAAATTTTCACCGTGTGATACCTAATGCCATTTACGATTTCATACAAGTAATTTAACACTTTTACTGTATTTTTAGCCTTCAAAACAGATATTTTATTGAAATGAGTCTGATTTGTAATGTTTTTAAAATTATGATATTTGATTCCAATCAACAAATAGATTGAACCCATACGATCATACAGATCTAACTTGTACGGTTGCAGAGAAATAGACGATTTTCTACAAGTCCCTTTTCAAGGTTTTTGGTCTATAAAAGTGGCAATTATTATTCGATTTACATAAAATTTTCTCCATGTGATGCCTTATGCCATTTCTGATTTCATAAAACTAATTTAACATTTTCATTATCACTGGAAGTAATGTAATTTTGTCAGTATCACTTACATGTAACAAATGTATACAATGAATTGATATTGCTGGATTTGGTTGTTTCTGCGTACATTTTATTTGATGTGTGCAATGCTTATATGGAAACCTGTTTAATGGTTTCATCGGTACCGGAAGTGACATATGTTCAAGGGTAACAGGGCACCGATGAAACCCGTCATTACTGCGTCACAGTTCTAGTTATTATCATTATTATAATTTTTTTGTCTTTGTGAATCAGCCATTACTAATTACTTCCATATTGTCTTGTGACATATGCTTTTCTTTCTTTGTTATGAATTTCACCCAAAACCATAGAATAGACAACTTGTGTAGTGATTATAAAATGTTTGTTTTTTAATATTATTATTATTTTGTCATTTGTGAATCAGCCATTACTAATTACTTCCACATTGTCTTATGGGATATGCTTTTCTTTCTGGGGGGTTGGTGTCAAGTGGACGACGTTAAACCCCATTTCTCTCTCTCTCTCTCGCTTTTCTTTCTTTATTATAAATTTCACCCGAAACCATAGAATACGCAATTTGTGTAGTGATTATAAAATGTTCATTGTTCCTTAAACATTGGATATTATTATCCCATATTTTCACGGCCAGATAAGACATGAATATTGATTGGTAGATTCATTTAGAATAGGGTTTAACATCTCTTCAACATGGTGTGTCAGTTATTTAAAGACAAGTATATTTATTATTACTTTGGTTAGCGTGGGCGCGTTGAATCATAATGCGCCTGTCCAACCTCGTCGGTTTTCTCTGGGTCCTCCGGTTTCCTCCCACTGCTAAAGACCCCTACGTGCAAGCAAATGATTGAAATAAAATTGAACCATGTGTTAGTCCTGAAATGACCTAGTTTGTGTCGAGTGGACATTAAACCCCATTTCTCTCTTTCTCTCTCTCTTGTTTCTTTTATTTCTATAGTTACACTGGCTCGCTACCCTGGAGGTCGGGTGTTCGATCCCTGCATTGGCCGAGAAGGTTCATCCAGATTTTCCGGCGTGGTTCTCCCTTGTCAGTGATGCAGGACGGAGGGGCTGACAAGGAAAGCTGTCTAGTCGTTCGGATGGGACGAAAAACCGAGGTCCCGTGTATACATTGGCGTGCACGTAAAAGATCCCTTGGCAGTTGGAATTCGATATAAGAGTAGGCCGTAGTGCCGCTGTCCGGGCAAAATTTCCCTCATAGCACACTGTATGGCGTATGCCCGTCTTCATTAGCCCAGGTTAGGAGCAGAACAGTAGGACGTTAAACCCCAGTTCATTTCATTTCTATAGTTACAAGAGTGGTTTAACATGTGCCTGTAAACCAATAACATCTGTCATTGAGTCAAGTCGCTTCATATTGATTCCCCGCTTGTGCGTGATAAAGAGTAGGATCACCTGACCAACCTCGTGGGGTTTTCTCTGGGTCCTTCAGGTTCCTCCTACTGCTAAAGAACTATACGCACAAGCGAATTATTGAAATAAAATAGAACCATATGTTAGTCCCAAAATTTCCTAGTTTTTGTTGAGTGGACCTTAACCCCCGTCTGTCTGTCTGTCTCTCTCTCTGTCTCTCTCTCTGTCTCTCAATGGTTACATGTACAATTCAAAATGAGAGAATTTTGTCCCGACAGCAGCGTTTCTGCCTGTTCTTTGTTTTCCAAGTGTCATAACCCATAATAATATATATACATGTAAACATAAATTTGAAATAATTAAAATCTGCTATTTTTTTTTAAAATTTAAATCTTTCGTTTTTTTCAATAAAATTATGCACATGGTATGTTAGTGGTTCCGATCCATGTAGTAGCACTTTAAGGTTTTGCTGTGTCGAAGGTAAAGTGTTGATTGTATTATGGCGAGCATTTGAATACAAGGAACATATATTGTATTACCACATGGACATGCCCATGTGTACACATGTGAACCTCACAGGGCCGATCCTCCTTGTCAGCCATCTTGAAAAGTAAATTCCTAGAGGATTCAAGCCAGAAACATTCTAATTGTTAGACCAATATCCTGTCGGATCGATGACCCTGGTCTAAAGTAGGAGGGTCTCCGCCTTTAAACACATTACTTTCTACCTGTCGCAAAATATCTTGACACTAGCATTAAGATAATTGCCGACATTTATTTTGTTTTTAATTTTGATAAAAAAATGTTATAAATAAGTTTATTTGATTGCAGTTTGGCAAGATGGGATTATGATGGAAGTTGTTGTCAATGGCAACAGGTGTTGTCGTCATGGAGACTGTTGCTAATTTAGATAGATTGGTCAAGCCAGCAGAAGTAGAGTTTCGACCTTCAGAGGTTGAACTCAGGAAACCAGGTAAGATTATTGTAACTGATTATAAATAAGAAAGAAATTATGGATATTGGCATATTTATATATATGAGAGAGAGAGAGAGACTTCCACTGAACACAAACTAAGTCATTTCAGGACTAACAGATGATATAGTTTTATTCCACTATCATCACAATGTTCTGCTAACGTCCCATTCATTACAACTGGTCAGATCTTCATGTAGTAGAGGCAATCAAAAGTAAAACTACGAAACGAAATATAGATCTGTATTTTAATCAGATTGTTATGTGAGTTACTGTAGTAAAACATATGATTGATTTATTTTATGATCAAGAGTGGAATGCCGCGTTTTATCAGTGAAATAAAAGTGTTATTCCACTGGCTAGCAGTGAAATAGTTGTTTTTACCTAACATGATTGTAAAATCATAAAATAAATAGAACATTTGTCGTTTTGTCGTGAATAACATATTTTATTTCATCTCTAAGCAAGAAAACGCATTCGTGAAAATATAAGTTTTCTTGCTTCTCGATGAAATAAAATATGTTATTCACGACAAAACGACAAATATCCTCTATGTATTCAGTACTTGTATATATTATATTTAACAGGAGTATGGTGTGTAACGCCTATCAAAGAGGGTCGGATGTACGGACCGTATGCTGGAGAAGTCGTCACGAAGGATAAATATGGTGATATCAATTATAGATACGCCTGGGAGGTATGAACAGTTTATAAATTTACTATGTTATATGGGCAGAGGTCAGAAGACCTTCTTGAAATTCAATAGGTCATTTATCAGGATAAGAGCTCTATGATACTGTATATAAAGAATCTCCTACAAGTCTTTTTCGATATAAAAAATATATCAACACAAGTCGATAAAGTAAAAAATTATGAGGATCTGCCGAGTTTTTTTTTTACTTTATCGAGGAGTATTGATATTTTTTGATATCAAAAAAGAAGAGTAGGAGATTTTATTTATCACTCAATCCTTTCTTACATGCACAAATAAATAAATATAATTCTTTGCTGTAAATTTCACTTTTACTGAACCTGATTACATTAGGGTACATCATTTTTTGACAGCAATAATATTCAACCATTGCAAAATCCTTTATATTGACCCAGTGTTTCCATCAAGGTCAATTAAATAAAATTAGTTCATTTTTAATAAAATAGAAGTTACTTTTAATAAAAAATGAACTGTTCTTTGAAAAAAAAAAAAAATAGTTTCTTTCAACTAACCAATCAAATTCATGCAAAGCAATATCTCCTAAGGAAATATCCCAGTAGATTATAAAATATATCACACAAGCAATATCTACTGTAGAAAGTGTTATTGGGTGATAAAGAATGATAATGATATGTGACAACAACATGAATATACAGCTTGAAATCGTTGAGAGAATACTCTTCGAAACGTCGCCTAAATAAATCAGTAGCTGTTTTCCATAAGTATGTTTATAATTTATTTATCTGCCTAGTTACTAAATGCCACTTAAAGAATATGAATATACAGGTCACAATTCTATGGAATACAATTACTGCTTATTACTGAGTGCCATTTTGACTAGGCTTCTCGAGTCATTGTATTCTATAGAATTGTGACCTGTATATTCCATTACTAAATGCCATTGAAATTGAAACAACAACATGAATGATATGTTGAAACAATTTAAATGGCATGTCACCATGACACCAACAGCATGTGACAGCAGCACAAGTCAATTTCAGTTCAGTTTTTATGCGGAAACATTTATATGTGCTTGTATATTGTTTTTACCCCCATCTAGCGGTACCGTGTCCACAATTGCTTGTGAACACTCTAGAAGCTAAAGAGTTGTTAAGATCACGATACGAAGAAGCTATTGATTTTTAAAAATTTCCGATAATTACTGCCAGAGTTGTGGCCCTTGATCACTTTGAAAACTCTTGTGGATTCTCCAGAGACGAAAGGTTACGGTCGTGAGATGAAGAGGATAATTGATTTTCAACGATTTTCGATAATTACTTTCAGAGTTATTGTTTTTTTATACATTAGTATAGGGCAGAACTAGAAGCCAAACAAATTCTAATGATTTCTGATAAGTACTTAATGGGTTGTTACTTGTACTCAGATTTTAGTGTGTTGAAAGTATTTACATTACTGACAAAAGAAAAAGCATAAATGTCCGATAACCCTCAGTGACTGTCTGGACGACTTAGCTGTTGTGGGCATGTGTTTTGATGCCTGGCAACCTATCTTTATGTTTTATTTGCAGGTTTTTAACTTTGAGACAAACAGAGTACAACATATAATAAATGCTACGAACCCCGTATTTGGAAATTGGATGAGATATGTCAACTGTGCTCGATATTTTGAAGAACAGAATATTGTGTCGGTTCAAGTCGATGAAGAAGTTTATTATAAAGCTATCAAGGTTTGTTTTATAATTGGCCTGTCCAACCTCGTGGGTTTTCTTCGGGTCCCCCGCTTTCCTCCCACTGCTAAAGACCCCTACACGCAAGCAAATTATTGAAGTAAAATTAAAACCATATGTTAGTCATGAAATGACCTAGTTTTATTTCAATAATTTGCTTGTGTGTAGGGTTCTTTAGCAGTGGGAGGAAACCGGAGAACCCGGTGAAAACCCACAAGGTTGGACAGGCGACCCTACTCATGTGCAAACGGGGAATCGAAATCACGTCAGTTGACTCAATGACAGACCGTATGATACAATGTGCACATGCTAATCATTAACCATCCCCCCCCCCCAAGCCACAATTAAACGGGGTTGGGTGGTCTTGTGGTTTAACATGTGCGTGAAATCATAAGGTCTGATTTTGAGTCAAGTCACAGGTTTCGTTTCCCTGCTTGTACATGAGTGAGGTCATCTGTGTGGGTTGTCTACGGGTCCTCCAGTTTCCTCCCACTGTTAAAGACCCTACGCGCAAATAAATTATTGAAATAAAATTAAACCATACGTTAGTCCCAAAATGACCTAGTTTCTCTCTCTCCTATGTAAACCTAGTTATTTATATCAGGGTATTGACTGTTTAGGGTAACAATAATTGTGTTTTATTTGTTGTAGGATATTGAGGTTGGAGAAGAACTCCTCACATGGTTTGATCTCGAACAGAGACAGAATGTTAACGTGGAGAAAAAAGACAAGAAAAAGAAGCAGAATGAAACTAGTAAGTTACAGTTTTACCCCTGAACATTAAATTATCATCCAGCCTAGAAACATTAAAAACTAATTTAAAAACTCATCAATTTATGACCTATTATGGCACCCAGACTGTGTAGTGCCTTGAGCATATTAGCATGGAACTGTGCTCATTATAAATGTACATATTATTGTTATATAGAGGTCTTGTGGTCAACTATGTGTTTTTCAAAGGGCTTTGCTTTCCTGCAGATTCTTTTTTCCCCTACAGGTTTTGTCGGCCGACACCCAGTTCATGTGTCATTTTTTTTAATTGATCATTTTAACTGTTTTCTTTCTTTTCAGAACCAAAAGTCAGTAAGAAGAAAGTTGAAGTCTCTGATGATGAGTCGGAAACCGCTTCACCCAAGAAGAAAACCCAACCATGCATCAACGCCTCCCTGCTCACAAAATCATCTCCACAGAAACGTAAAGTTACTTCACCTGTCCAGACCCTGGGAACCGTGGAGGTTAAAAAGAAGAAAAAAGAAATCCAAACAACCATGAATTACAAAATCAACAAGAAATCGTCAAATAAATGGATGAGTTTAGACAAATGGCCTACAACTGAAACATCAACAACGACGAACAAATCCCCAAAAAGCATTAAATCTCCATCAATGACCAGCAAATCACCATTGATAAATAAATCTTCTACAAATAAATGGCTGACGTCGACGACCCAGTTGCCTGTCCAAAATAATTCGCTCAACATAAACAAATCGTCCACGATCTCCAAAAGCCCAGTGAAAATTGCGAGCGCAGGCAGTGCCAAATCACCTGGTAGCACAAAGTCTGTAAGCAGTGCAAAGTCATCGCCCAAACAATTACAGATAGGGAAATCATCCCCTAGCAGTTCCAAATCTCCAGGTGGTATGAAATCACCTAATAGTTCCAGATCTCCAAATAAGGTAAAATCGATGAGAAAGAAAACAGAAAAAGTTGACAATGATAAAACTGATCTCAAGATGAAATCTGGTAGCCCCAACAGTTTACTCAAGACGGAAAACAGCTCAAATTATTTTGAATTCCACGTTGGGAAGAAGCATCATGTGATCCGTGACCGTGATGGCAAGAAGATGTACGAGTGTGAATTATGTGACGTCACGTATCTAAAGCCCTTCAGTTTAAAACGCCATTTTTTACGAACTCATATTAACTGTCAGTATGTGTCAAGCAGGGATTTGATAAACTGTTGTATTAACGCCAGTCAGCAGATGGAACGGATCGAATCGGCTCAAAAAACTCAAAACTCAGGTGCTAAGTTATATAATGGATTAATTAGATCTCAAAACTCTAGTCCTATCAAGAACTCGCAATCTAAAAATTATTCCCCAGGAAAATTAAGCACAGGGGAGACAACTCCATTTAAGAAATCAGGGAATTCGGTAAATAATGAAGTCAGGTTTCCTGGACTCTACAAATGTGATTCTTGTTATTTTGTTTTTGATGATATGAATCAACTGATCTCCCACAACAAATGCCATGATTCAGCAAACGCAAATAGTCGAGACACTTCTCCCAACAAAACTCCTAATTCTAAATTACCTGCCAGAAGTGCAACTAAAAGATCGTCCAAGAAAATGTCAATAAAAGACGCAACCCAGGCACAAATCTTGCCCATGATGTCAAAAGCAACAGAAAAATCTTCACCAAGCAAGAGCACACCATCTAAATTGTCCAAAGGGTCTCCAAAGAAAACTCTGAGGAAAAGTTCAGGAGATATATCACCGAGGAAGAAATCACCAGTAAAAAATTCTTCCCCTGATTTACCTCAGAAAAAATCACCCATGAAGAATTCACCCACTGTGTTTTCTTCTCCGAAGAAGAAATTCTACGCCAGATCCCCAAGGTCATCACCACGGTTATCTGGAAGTCCTTTTGGCAAGAGAAGATCACCAAAGAAAAAACCAAGGGGAGGGAAATACGTGAAACAGAAGTTTAAGAATTATCCTTGTACGCTGTGTAAAGTTCGTTTTACGAAAGTGTCAAATCTAGAAAAACATCTGAAAGAACACAATGGTAATTATTTCTATTATATTTTACGGAGATTAAATTTTAAATTTATCATGGACTTCAAATTATTATGGCTCCTGCATGTGACACAAATTAGCAGATGACTGTTGGAAATTATGCAATTACTGTCAAAATTTCTCGGTTGTACATTGTATCTGATAAGGAGTAGGGTTGCCTATCCAACCTCAAGGGTTGTCTCCGAGTCCTCAGGTTTCCTCCCACTGCTAAAAGACCACTGCGAGTGCAAGCGAATTATTGAAATAAAATTGAACTATATATTAGTCCCGAAATGACCTAGTTTGTGTCAAGAGGACATAAAGCCCATTTCTCTCTTTTTCTATCTCTCTCTCTGGTGTCCAGTACTACAAATGTAAGCAAATTTTTTAACTAAAAATGCACTATATGCTAGTCCCCAAGTTCGTGTTGAGTGAATGCTAAACTTAATCTTTCCTGTCGAAATTTGTTTTTACTTCTTAAAGTCCATCCTTGACTTGCCAATAATTGATTTAATTTTGAATCTGTCTATTTTCAGAAAACAAAGCCTTTCCTTGCTATGTGTGTGGTAAAGCTTTTATGAACGAGACGAAGATGAAACAACACGTAAGATATCATTTTGGTCAGAATGTCAGCTGTCGACACTGTTCCGATAAATTTGCTAACGTCGGAGACATGAGAATTCATCTGAAGAACACCCATAAAGAGGAATGGCTGCTGAAAGAAAAGGAAGAAAACAAAACCCAGGCCAAAACGAAGAAAGCCAATCAACAAAATATCGGCCAACGTTCACGAAAAGATAAGGTAAAGGTTATCTCTGAAAAAGATTATCGAGCATTTATACCTGATAAAAAACTTGTTCAACCCTCCATTAAAAACAGCCTCTCCGCATCTCCAAAGAAAATCTTCAAATTTTTAACGTCACCAGTGTCTAAGAAGAAAGTGTCCGAGAATGAACGAGCTGCTAATGGCTACAAATCTAAATATCGGTATTCATGCTTCACGTGTAAAAAACGATTTATAAGTTATTTTTCACTGGGTCAACATCGAAAGACGAATCATCGTTACGATCGGTATTCAGCTCCTTCAGTCCTTCTCCACATGAAACAAAAAGTTTCAGAAGAAAAGAATCCAATTGGTGTTCTACCGATGTTAGCACCCCCAGTGTCGCCTGATCCTTATTATGAAACTGTGACCGATAACGTTAGTACGAATCTAGAATCATTCCTGGATGGAAAAGCAGAGGCCCTGAGAAATTACAAGAAACACATTCAGATAAATGGATATAGATCAATTAATTCTGTTACACATTTTAAAACTCCAAAATTTGATTGGACAAACTATAATTTTCCGTTCCATTATCAGCCATATGAAAGTGTGATTGGTTATAGCGCCAGCAATAAGGGACCTATGATTCCTGAAGATGTAACTCCAGCTCATGATCTGAGAAGAGAAACGGCTGTCGAAAATTCCTTTTTACGCTCCGGTATAAGACATAGACCAGAAGCATTAAAAGAGTTAAAATTAGATGTTAGTAGTGATGAGCCACCCGTGTTACAGTGCATGTCTGTTTCAGAGAAATCCCAGGATAGCGATGGTGATAGCGATAATAACAGCATGCCTTCATTGACGCCATCCTATGATGAAGAGAAAGGTAATAAATTCTTTCATAAATTCGACGGGGAACCAAACGTGATAAATAAATCTAGTGTAGAATCGTCCAATCTTACAAAAGTAGACGGTGCTTCTCAAAACTCTTTAGAAAGTAGTGAAAATAAATCAAGTGCCTTGCATTCCGATAATTCGGATTCTGATGACATCAACTTAACCACGTGTGTGCCTCATCTTGAAGCTTTGAATCTTGTAAATTCATCGGAAAGAGAAGAAATAATCAACCAATTAGAGGCAGCAAATCAAGCCATTCCTGCGCGCATCTTTGAAAAAGATCTTCGCAATACTTTAGAAGGACAAAAATGGGAGAGTTTCCGCGATGAGATAGCATTCGGGAAGTTGGGAGATGTTATCAATGTTTGTTCCGTGTGTAAACGTTATTTTGAGTCAGTAGATTCTCTGGTACGCCATCAATACACGAAGCATTCCTCCATGAAGTGTCGTTATTTACAGATAGAAAAAGGTAATGGAATAGACGGTCTGTTTTATTCATGGCCGAGTAATGAAGGGATGTTAGCCTCGTCTACACCTATCCCAGAGGACTGCCACAGTCTCAGTTTGTATAGATGTACGCGATGTAAAAGCAGTTTCAAAAATATCAGTAGGCTTCATGTTCATATTATCAGTTGCGATCCTAAGAAATTGTTCTACGTGGAAAGGATTTCGCTCAAAGAAAGAAGAAAACAAGAGGAAAAAGAAAAGAAAAAAGAAGCGAGATTAAAGGCCAAAGAAGAAGAAGCAAAACAAAGAGGCAGGAAGAAGAAGAATCACTTATCACGAGCAAAGGCACAGCTCGAACAAAAACGCAAAAATGAAAAGGTCAAGAAGATCATAAAAGAACGTCAAGCGGGGAAATCTCCGTCAAAATCTCCAAAGGTGATTCAGAAGGCGACTAGGTCACCAGATAATAAATTTGGTCTTTCACCACGATCGTTACGAGAAGCTCGTCGCAGTCAGATGGATTTATCCTCCATGGCCGGTGATGGGCGTCTGACAAGGCAGCGCAAACGAAGAAACTACGAGCTTCTTTACAAACCCGACAATCATGTCAGAAGAAGGGAAATGGCAGACGTGATAGAGACCCATCAATGCAGTGGGTGTAATTTGAAGTTCCGAACTCTTTTCCTCTTAGAAAGACACGCCAGAAAATGTAGCGAAAAGGATAAATTGAGATCATCGAAGTCTATCAAAGATTCCAAACAACCGAATAGTGTAACCCTACAACATAATTGTCAGTACTGCACACGTAAGTTTACGTATCTGAAGAGTTTAGCCAATCATTACAAAGATTTCTGCCACGTGAAAAAAGACAGACAGAAAAATGGCGAAATAAATAAGGAAGAGTTGGAGAAGGAGAAGGTTTTACGTGAAGAAATTACAGGATTGGAAGGTCTGGGTAACATGGAAGATAAAATAACAGAAGAAATGGAGGGAAACAAGAAACGTTGTGGATGGCCGAGGGGCATGAAGAGAAAAAACAGGAGGAAGAACCATTCGTGGACTTACACAAAGAAGAAAAAGTCTTCTCAGGAAGATGATCCACTAGTTGAAGAGGAGGACAAAAAATTTGACTTTGCTGAGGATTTACCAAAAGACAGCAAGGGATTGTCTGAGAGTACTCCACGAACGTCGTCAGAAAATCAAGGAACTACATGTATAAACAGTAACCCACACACGAAGTTAGAAAGGGATAGTGATTCTGGTACTTTAGAAGATGATCTCCAGGGCAAAGAAAAGTCTGGAATTGGAAAAAGATTGAATGAAATACAGAGCAAAGATAAAGTCCCAAATATTCAAAGGTCATTCCAGGATACAGAGAAGGACGATCTGTGTAGCTCTCTAGAAGCACAGCATATGAGGCATACAGCAGAACTAGTGAAAGAAACCACCCAGGTTCACCATTTAAGTAGATGTCCAAGTAAAGATGCTGTAAAAGATCTTGAAAACACCTCAAAACGTGAACAAATTCCAAATAAAGATGAGCAAACAAAGGATTTAGAATTAACTGTAAAAGACAAAAATGATAATCAGAGAGATGAGGGGAAGTGGAACAGTGTACAATCAACAACCGCCAACGGATTGGAAAATGTTGAAGCAACTACCTCCAAAGGATTCGGAAATGTTGAAGCAACTACCCCCAAAGGATTTGACAATGTTGAAGTAACTACCTCCAATGGATTGGAAAACGTTGAAGTAACTGTTTCCAAAGTATTCGGTAAAATTGAAGAATCAACAGCTTCCAAAGGATTGGAAAAAGAAGCAACTGCCTATAAAGAATTGGAAAACACTGAAGAAGCAACTAATTCTAAAGGATTAGAAAAGGTTGAAGAAGTAACTACCGCCAAAGGATTGGATGAATCTATTCAGGATGATGTTAAAAATCTAGCAGATACTGTTTCCAAAACCGTTATACATGAAGTCTACGAAGAAGTGGTAAATGAGAACAAACAGGACACAGATATTAGTAAAATAGTGGTTGATGGAAACAATTCTACAGATTTAAGTCTGTCAATGCAGATGACTGAACAACTTGATTGTGCTGTGGAACATATACCACATCTTCTGAAAACAGCCAATGATCGACCTGAAGGTACAGCAACTTCAATCAATGGTAGGGAACCAACAAAACCATCCAGTGCATGGTCTAACAGAGCAGATTTAGCCAATGGGCCCATTGATGAAATACCCGAAGCTGCTAAAACGATGGATGTGGAAAGAGGTATCCATAAACCCAAGAATACTGATGTTGGGATCATCGCTGAAGCAGAAACAAGGAACCTGTCTTCCAAAAGTAATTTGAACACAATCTATGCACCAAGCGACCATCTTGCTATCGTCCATATTTCATCAGCTGGAGATTCGCTGACTAACATAGCAGCAGGTACGCGACTTCCTTCCGAACCGAACCATGTGAAAATATCATCTATGTCGCCTTATAAAGACAACCTGGATGTTAATCATAAAACTACCAATTCCCCTTCACGCAAAAAATCAAAGACCTTGTTTGTAGATACTTTGATTTTTAAAACCACAAATAAACAATTGGTATCCATTGACAACACGAAATCTAAATACAGTGAAACCAATGGTAATGTTCATTACAGTGACGTAACAGATAATATAAAAAATGATTTCATTGCGACATCTAATAAGTGCGTTTTAGATGAGATTGTTAGCGATAAAAATCAATCGGCAGAATACGTTGCTTCTGTAACTGCCGAACAGAAAGTTGATGTTGACCGCGAAAAATTGAATTATGATGCTAATGACTCAGATAGTGATACAACCATATATGGTGATGACTCAGATAACGAAAGTGCCATGTATAATATTGATACGGAAACGGACACGGACAACGTTATTTACAACGCTGAAACAGAAACGGATGGCGAAGTCGTGAAGCCTGTTGGAGAAAATTTAGAATCGAAAGTGCTGTGTAAAGAGAATTTTTTTAATATGGGTAGTTTTAGCAAAGAGACCAGTAAGGATAATACGGTTTCTACAGAAGAAAATAATAGAGCCAACATTAATCATCCCTCCACAGTTACTAGTGGTGACCATAGTAACAGTTGCTATACAACAATAGTTGACGTCACACCCGATTCTGACGTCAGCCGATAAACACATGGCTACTGCATCAGTTGTCAGGTTGCTTGCTGTTCGTGTTATTTTAAAACCCTTTTTGTAGATATTCATTCGAATTTCATTGATGTGAAATTTATTATTCATTATGAAAATAACCAAAATTCGGTCCTGATCTTAGGAATGTAAAACCTCTATTTGTTGATCTTCATCCCAAAAATTCATTTCACTTCTCCAAATTAACCGTTTTGAGTTCTAGGGCCTGTTTCACGAAATATTAACTAAAGATAAAATAAAAGTTTTAGCAGATACTTCAATTTTGATTGGCTAAGCACTAAAATCAATCTAATATTATCCAATCAAATTACTAAATTTTGGATTTTAACTTAGTTAAAATTTCGTAAAACAGGCCCCTGGCTCGTAACGCCATTGTTTCATAATCATATATCGGTGATTAATTATTATTCGGTTTTACGAATTAGAGCCCTTTAAGTGTTAATAATATGAAACCATACTGACTCCTGTTTCTTAGTCATCACAATTTCATATTAGATTTGGACTTGGACATGTGTGAATTTATTTACCGGAATGAGAGAATATTTGTGTAGGGGTAAACTACCCCCTCTTAGGCAAAAGAGAACTGCTAATCCTAATCGGGAATTCACTAATTTTGTTCTGGATTATTAGATCTGTTTCGACCAGGGGCCTTGTTCATGGAGACTTAAACTAAATTATTTTAAGAATTCGTCTTTTTCATTGGTCAATAGCTGCAATTTGTATTTGAATGTTAATCCTCGAAAAATCAATTGGCTGCTTAACGCAAGGTAAAATTTTATGGATAGACAATTACTGACGAGAATACTCTCGTCATCAAGCAAAGACGAGAGTATTCTCGTCGAGACATCGCTTAGTATTAAACCCAGTAATTGTGTATCCATAAAATTGTACCCTGTGTTAATATGCCCAATTACTAAATGCCAATCAAAGAAAATTGGCTGCTTCGTTAAGATATTTTGCAAATAAGGCCCTAAGATATTTTCACGCAGTACAAGTTATTGGTAGATTAAGTAATGTTTAAGATTTGTTATAGAAGAATTTAAGATGATTATTATATATATATGTTTATAGGATGATTAACAGTATTACAGATTCTAGATTTATGACAAGTCATTTAACTATTAACAGGTGACATATATTTTAAACTCGAGCCATATTTACAGGTGACATATATTCTGAACTTTAGACATATTTTGTTTCCTTATTAAATAAGAGCGAGCCGTTTTTATTATTTGCTCAATCGTGGTCAACTCTCAGTAGGCCTATATCATAACGGCAACCCAAAGCCCTGTACTCGTAATAATTCCAAACATCCGCCCGTACAGAGTTATTTGCCCCTGAATCGGGATCAGACCAGTTATTTTATGATCTCGCTCTCTTAGTCACAGTTTAATGTTAAAAGCGATTTTCCACGCTACGGACTACTGTTGTTCAGACTGATGTTGGTTTGTTGCGATCAAATAAAACAAACTTTTTTTAATGGAATAACAATATTACTAGAGTTTATTACACTGCGACGTTTCAGCAAGATTTCCCTTATTGAAAGTACAGGGGTTGGGGTATTATGGAATGCCGATCCGTGTCATTTAAAGCTTTGAAATACAACTTGACATTATAAACACTATATTATTTTCATGATTAATTGCGACCAGTGTTTCACATGTTCTGTTCTCAGTTTAAAGATTGGCTTAAAGTGTTGCGTATTAACCAATAGTTTGGTTTATAGTTTATTAATTTAGAGGTTAAAACTTTTTATTTGTTTCTATTTTTGATATTATATTAAACATGTACTGTTTGTTTTCTAACAAATTACGTAAATTATTGAATATGTGAAGAATATTTACAATTGTAGAAAATTGGATGTTTGTACGGGATAATAACGTTTACAATTGTAGATTATTGGATGTTAAGAATCACTATGAAATTATTAGCTCAAGTGAGTGATGGCACTGAGACTAAGGCCTTTATTTTGTTTTCAATGCAATTTATATCTATAATTATTTCATTTAATCGATGTTCGTACTGATGAAACTCAAAAATATTTACAAATACACATTCTTAAATTCACCGGCTATCAGTTTGCGTATACTTAATGCAGTAAATTATCGCGGATTGCCTGTCCAATCTAATTAAAGTACAGATCTATATTTCGTTTCGTTTTTTTTATACTTTCGATGACCTACACTACATGAAGACCTGACCGGTTGTAGTAAAAGGTCGCGTCAGAGGTCGCACGAACGGCTATTGACTCCATGACGTCAGACATCGATTAATCAATCAGCGTTGACGTTTCTAGTGGTTTACTCACAGTTCCGTGCATCGCACGAAAAGAAGTCGCCGTAACAGATGGTTTCATTGACTAATCCCTCACGTCAACCAGAACGCAGGTTATATAACAACTCTCCAAGATCCTAGTGTAGTACAGACAAATAAAACGAAATTTGGAACTATAAAAAACGAAACGAAATAGGATCTGTGTTTTAATCAGATTGATTGGCTGTCCGAAAAATCAACGCTTTCTTTTCCAACTGTTTTGAAATAAGACTTTAAATAGCCTGGTGGTATTAAATAAAGCATTGTGTATTTGTCTGAGTTGTGTTTTTGTAGTGATGATGATTATATGTCAGTAGTTAGTATATTATAGAATATTTATGTTATGTATGAATGGTATCAGAGATTTAGATGTATGTATTTATTATTATGAAAGTTTTCATGCTATTGTCATGTTTTTATGTTATTTAAGTTACTTTGTGTTTCTCTAGAGTTACCCTTTTTTAAGTTTTTCTCCTTGATAAGGATATGATGTTGGCCATTCTGAACCATTATTTTTAGGCGATCGTTGTCTTTCGTTCGTTCTAAGAGCTTAACACCCGCTTCTCCCTTCGTTCGTTCGTTTCCAGAGTTTTACGTCCACTTCCACCTAAGGTGATATCGTAGACAAGAGCTTCTACCTAGGGTGATATCGCAGATCAGTAACCTCAGTAACACAGAATTTATAGTTTCTATGGCAACTGATGGTAATATATCGCTGTAATTTGTTTAACAACACATAAAATATCAATTAATATAAAAAAATTGTTAACCACGGGGTCTAACTGCCTTCATCATTAAAAAAATATTGTAAAATAACAGAATTCAGGATTGTTGACATATCCATCATTCTGAAGTCATCATATTTTCTAGTTGATATTAATTTATTTTATTTCACGTAGACATCTTCACAACTTGAAGGTATTACGTCACACGAATGGAGAATGGAGGACAGACAAGGAACAATGTCTTGTCGTTCGGTTAGGATCAACCGTTTACTCTCTGACGTACACGCGAAAGTTCCCCTAACAGTCGGAATTTCCCCACAGCACACTACACGGCGCACGCCCATCTTCAACAATGTTCTGCACGGGGACAATAAAGACGGGTATACGTCACGCAGTGAGCTTCGAGGGAAATTTTGCCCGTACAGTGGAGCTGTGGATGGATGTGTTGAAGAACCTTTACTTGGTGAAGATGGTTTATTGGAGTATACTGTATAGTTGATATTAGATGTTGAAATATTTTGTTTAGTGGTTGTAATCATTTCTACTCAGTTCACCGAATCACTGTTTTCTATAGCTGTAATGATTTCTTTCAATTCATTGATTGTATCACGGTATATAAACACTGAGTATATAGCTGTATATCACGGTGTATATACACTGATTATATAGCTGTATATCACGGTGTATAGACACTGATTATATAGCTGTATATAACGGTGTATAGACACTGATTATATAGCTGTATATAACGGTGTATAGACACTGATTATATAGCTGTATATCACGGTGTATATACAATGATTATATAGCTGTATATCACGGTATACATACACTGATTATATAGCTGTATATCACGGTGTATAGACACTGATTATATAGCTGTAAATCACGGTGTATAGACACCGATTATATAGCTGGGTGGTCGCAATAAGATTCGGTTATCCATGTCGAGATCCATTTGTCATGATCGTCATTTGATGGCGTCCCAATCCCTGGAAGACTATAAAAACGTGACCGTTTAATCTTTAATAGATATATCAGTCCATTAGTTGATCAATTCCATATAGTTTACTCCCTAAAACGGGATATCCGTCTACAAGTTGATCAATTCCGTATAGTTTACTCCCTAAAAGGAATACCTGTCCATAAATTGATCAGTTCCGTGGATCCTCTAAAAGGGTTATCTGTCTACAGATCGATCAATTCCGTTGAGTATTGACAAAGATTATGAGGAACTGAGCATACACATCCTCAGAAGACGATTAAATAAACCAATGTTATCGTAAAATCTTCTGATGGGCCCCTGTTTACTCCGATTGAATCCAAGTCGTGATATACTCTCGATGATCCAGTGTGATGGGATGTCCTTGGCGTTGATGAGATTGACTGGAAGAAAAAGTCCCCTTAGTTGTATAGGTCTAAAACCGCCCTGCCCTTTCCATGCATCCCTTTGTTGCGCAGTGCTCTTTGGTTGCTCAAAACCGTTGCTGTCGTTAATATTCAATGTTAAATAATCCGGAGCTAGGTTAAATTCAGCATGATAGTCGACGTCTGTCCCCGTACGTTAAATAAAGAAATGGGCTTGCAACAAAAACCCAATTGAATAAAAGGGCACAACCCACCCAGATTCTGTAGTCATACTGTGGCGAAAACCGAAGCATTGCGATTGCCCAAAAGCTACGACATCATTATATTATAATTACTCATCACTACTCAAGGCGAGGTAAATCGTATTTATTTAAATGTTTTATATTTTTCACAGAATGTTGTCAAATGTTATAATATTAATTATCATCATTTTTTATTGAATAATAAAAAAACCCAAATATTATTTATCTGTCAAATTATTTTACCAACACAAGCGAGTATTTAATGCTATTGAGAGGTAGGCAGGGGCTAATAAATAATCAACTAAGCATTTTAAAAAAGTACCCTTATCTATTCCTAAGTTATTAAAATAAACGAGAATATATATTATATGTCTGTCAATTTGAAGGAAAGGTGACCATTTGTTCAGTCTGCTCCCCCCCCCCTCCACTGGACCGATGGGGGTCCTGGCAAGGACAGCTATCTAATCATTAGGATGGGACGTAAAACCGATGTCCCGTGAATAGATTGGCATGTACGTAAAAGATCCGTTTGCAGTTGGAATTCGATTTAGTGGGTCATAGCGCCGCTCTCCGGACATATACGTCCTTCATAGCACACTGTATGGCGAATGCCCGTCTTCATTAGCCCATTCGGAGCAGAATAATAAGACGTTAAACTCCATTTCATTTCCTTTGTCCAGTCGGCGAATCTTTGATGCCTTTAAAGAGTTTTTGGGAGGCGTGGGGAGAAAGATTGCAGATTTGTTAAGGATTCCAAATTTTGTTGGTAAAATAAACACGTTCTTGACTAGCAGTGTCTTAAGACAGCCAGAGAGAGAGAGAAATGGGGTTTAACGTCCACTCGACACAAACTAGGTCATTTCGGGACTAACATATGGTTTAATTTTATTTCAATAATTCGCATGTGCGTAGGGGTCTTTAGCAGTGGGAGGACCCGGAGAAAACCCACGAGGTTGGACAGACGACCCTACTCTTGTCACGTACAACCGGGGATTCGAAACCACGCCAGTTGACTCAATGACAGACCGTATGATACAGCGCGCGTGCTCTTAAGAAAACCAGCGGAGGAGGGGAGTGTAGAATACTAATTATATATTTATATAAATTATGATATGAAAACCAGAATGTAAATAGTTTCTAATCGTATGGTTGTTAAACCAGACATTATTATCTTTTCTTGGATTTTGATTTGGCTACAACCGTCCATGAATCGTCACTGGACTCTTCTTTTCTTTGACTTCTGCTTTGCCCATTTCTACCCACGTTACACCATGGTGATTGATCAATGTGTTTACTCGATGATCCAGTACGTGATGATGTACCGTCTTTACTCGATGATCCAGTACTGGTGATGGGATGTCCTTTGCTTTGATGAGATTGACTGGAAGGAAAAGTCCCTTCAGTTGTAGGTCTAAAACCGCCCTGTCCTTTCCATGCATCCCTTTGTTGCGCAGCGCCCTTTGGTTGCTGAAAACCGTTTCTTGAATGACTACTTCTAGAATATAATTGTTCATCTTTATCAATTCCCCTAGCTTGACCCGATCTCGAATGGTATTTCCCGGAAGACTGTGTTCGTTTGGATCGGGAGGATTGTTCAGATACTGAAAAATAAATGATCAAAAGTATAATCCACTATTATCGAAACGCTAAAATCCACGCTCTTAACCACATCCTGTCAAATGTGTACTGATATTTTCATACATGGTTGTTCCAATTCTTTTAAAATAATTTAAAAATTAATAAAACAATAATCGCCCAGGTATAATCCGTCATTTACCTGTGGCGAACAATATTCGTTCAGGTATAGTCAGTCATTTACCTGTGGCGAACAGTGTCCGTCCAAACATAGTCATTGACCTGTGGCGAACAGTGTCCGTCCAGGTATGGTCAGTCAGTTAACCATGGCGAACAGTGTCCTTTCAGGTATAGTCAGCCATTTATCCGTGGCGATCAGAATCCAGATAGGTAAAGTCAGTCATTTACCTGATTTGTTTAACACCATATGTTTCTGCTCCATCCAGGTCAGGAAGTTGGACCAGAGATCAGATGTATTCATCGTATCATAGCAACCAATAATAACCACACCTCTAGTTGAAGACGCCAGTAAATGTTTTAACATATTCTCATTAAAATCTGGCCCTGTTGACAATAAAACATTAAATACCAGTTACATCCTGGACGAATAATATTGGTCTGAGAGTTCACTAAGAACTTCTTAACGGTAGATAAATGTATTAACTGACCTATTTGTTTAATCCACATTGGTTATTGTCTGGGATCCCCACATTTCACCACCAACTGGGCCAATGAAGACAGATATAATGCCCCCCGCCTTGTACCAGGTTGGAAAATCCCGAGGAACTAGGATCGGATCCAGGAACTCCTGGTTAGTGAACTAGGATCGGACCCAGGAACTCTTGGTTAGTGAACTAGGATCGGGCCCAGGAACTTCTCGTTAGTGAGCTAGGATCGGATCCATGGAACTCCTGGTTAGTGAGACAGAGCCATACCCACTGAACCACTTGTTTAGTTTTTATCTCCGGTTTCATCTCCGATAATCTAGTGACTTACCCAGTTATAACCCCATCCTTATAAAAACTACCCAACGTAGTGACTACCCAGTATTAACCCCATCTTTATAAGGGGTACCTAACGTAGTTACCAAGTAGTAACCCCATCTTTATAAAGGGTACCCAACGTAGTTACCCAGTTGTAACCCCATCCTTATAAAGGTTACTTAGCGTAGTTACCCAGTTGTAATCCCATCCTCATAACGGATACTTAACATATTTACCCAGTTGTAACCCCATCTCTATAAAGGGTACCCAACGTACTTACCCAGTTGTAACCCCATCCTTATAAAGGTTACTTAGCGTAGTTACCCAGTTGTAATCCCATCCTCATAACGGATACTTAACATATTTACCCAGTTGTAACTCCATCCTTATAAAGGGTATCTAACGTAGTTGCCCAGGTGTAACCCATCCTTATTCAAGCTGCATAGCGTAGTTACCCAGGGATGAGTCGTACATCAATAAATAGTGAATAACAAGCAAAAGTATTAATATATAGTGCGCATATTACCAAGTTCCCCCTTTGTCTTGACACAGGAAAATATCATAACGTCTTTCTCACAACCATGGAACTCGTCCAGACATTTTACATCCAGTAACCTCATCCCCTTGTTTGCCTGTCCACATTTCTTCAGATCCTTCACCTGTGTTATATTCATATGTTTTTGTTTATTATAAATTATTATAAACTTTCAATACATGGAATATGATATGGACAGGTTGATTTGATTGAAATTATTTACATACGAAGGAGTGATTTTTTAAAAATAATGGGTAAAAACATAAAATATTTCTTGTATGTCAAAACGTCACTTTAAAATACGGTGTTAAAATTAGCTGTCGTGAGAAGATACGGCGGGTCATCCCCCCGCCCAACGCCCAGCTGGTTGATGGATCAAAGAGGCTAGAAAACACCTCGTGGGGAAAAAGAATATAAACAATATAGAAAGCTGGAACAATATGACAGATGATCCTGGTCAGGTGGTTGTTGGGCGGCGGGGGAGGGGGGGTACAGAACAAAATGACAGATGATCCTGGTCAGATGGATTTGGGGATACTGGGAAGGCTGGAACAAAATGACAGATGATTCTGGCTGGATGCGGGGTGGGGGGCGGAATGGTTAGCACGTGCGCGGTGTATCATAAGGTCTGTCATTGAGTCAACTGACGTTGTTTGAGTAGGGTTGCCTGGCCAACCTCGTGGGTTTTCTCCGAGTTCTTCGGTTTCGTCCCACTGGATGTGGGTGTAACACGATGGCAGATGACACATGATCCTGGCCAGGGAAGGCTGGAAGAAACAAATGATCCCAGTAGGATGTTGTGATACAGGAGGAACATTCAGAGAAATCCAAAAAAGGAAGTTAATGGATGATGAATCAGATAACTAATTATATTACCAGTTTATCGTGGACTAGATCTATCTGTTGTTGATATATTGACGACACTCCAACATCTACTGGACTGATGTCACCAGAGTTTATCAAACTTCTACAAACATCCAATATCTTCTCCACTTCCTTCTCATTAGTTAAACAATCTTCACGACCCTGAAAACACAGCAAATCAGGAAATATGTCAACATGACTGTTCACTGTTGGGATGACCTAGTGTTCTAGAGTGTCGCGCTACGACCTCTAGCTGACCGGCTTTCGATCCCTGGTCTGAGCCTATGTGGCTTGGAGATAGGGTCGCCTTCTCATCCTCGTGGGTTTACTCTGGGTACTCCAGTTTCCTTCCACAGGAAACAACTTGTCAGTGGAAGCGGACGTTAAACACTAAGAACAACAACAACCTATGGCCTAGAGAATAGGTCTAGAACGTCGCGCTTCGATCTCTAGCTGGCCAGTCACCTCTGGCCCGCGGTCGTGGTTTTAATCTCTGGTGTGAACGTCTGTAGCTTGGAGATAGGGCACCTTCTCAACATGGTGGGTTTACTCTGGGTACTTTGGAAAAAAACCTCTGAGCGTGTGCTAAGATAAAATAATACAACATGTCACCGGCGGACATTAAACACCAAGAGCAACAAAGTTCACCCTTGTACACATGTGAAAAATACAGTATCAAATGGGGGCAATTCTAAATTATGATTTCATGAAATGTTGTTCATACTCGATGAAATAAAATGAGATGGGGTTTAACGTCCTACTGTTCTGCTCCTAACCTGGGCTAATGAAGACGGGTATACGCCATACAGTGTGCTATGAGGGAAATTTTGCCTACTCTTATATCGAATTCCAACTGCCAAGGGATCTTTTACATACACGCCAATGTGTACACGGGACCTCGATTTTTCGTTCCATCCGAACGACTAGACAGCTGTCCTTGTCAAGCCCTCCATCCTGAATCACTGACAAGGGGAAATCACGCCGGAAAATCTGAATGAACTTTCTCGCCCAATGCAGGTATCGAACACCCGACCTCCAGGCTAGCGAGCCAGCGTCTTACCCACTTAGCCACGTGATCCCCCCCCCCCCTCATACTCGATGTGTTTAAGAACATAAAAATATCTGACTTTTGATATATATCTCACTTCCTGTGACTTTAACATAATTTACCTGGACGTTGATAAAAATAAGACGATTCTGATTATTAACGCGACAAACAGGAAAACCACGTGGTCTAGTTCTGTCATGTGATAAACAGCTGACGCCAGGATAAAATGTCTTGCCAACAAACTCCCAGATTTCCAGTGGAATTCTGTGTTGAAATGTCAAGTTTTTAAAACATCTTCCCTCCTCTTGAAACCTAGATAAAATGAAATATATGGTTCAAATTGGTAATTCACTGGCTTCAATTCTACGGATTACAACTACTGTTTATTACTGGACAATATTTCTTCGACCAGGCTTCTTATTACAGCAGTGATTCTCAACCAGTGAACCGCGGAAGTTGAGCCGCAAGATCTTTCTAAGTGTGCCACGAAATTTTGAAAGGCACACTAAGAAAAAGAAAAAAAACCCACGTGCATCCCAACAAAGTATTCACTGGTGTCTACTGATAAGTTCATAGCTGTTTTTTTCTTTATTTACTTTGAGTCACTCGATGTGTCTATGACTAGTCTACGGCTCTATGCCGTCTGTGACTTGCCATGTTTTTATTTTGCAAAATTCAAATATTTTTTATATATATTTAGCCAGGTGTGCCGCTATTTTTTTATGTGTTCCAAGGGTTAGGGTTAGGGCTGAGAACCACTGTATTACAGTAATAAACAGGAGTAGAAATCCATAGAATTGTGTCCTGCCTTTCACAAGATTCTTTGACCTGGCGTCATCCTTCAATATTTTCATCAGATGAATTTGAAATGTTTATAAAAATTAACATCATCGTACTGTTCCAAAAATGATATAGGCCAATAGCAAGGAATAGTTTATTTGAAATGTTTATATAGGCCAATAGCAAGGAATAGTTTATTTGAAATGTTTATATATGCCAATAGCAAGGGATAGTTTATTTGGAATGTTTATATGGGCCAATAGTATGGGATAGTTTATTTGAAATGTTTATATAGGCCAATAGCATGGGATAGTTTATTAGCCCAGTAGTACGTTTAATCCCATGTTGAAACATGTTATAGGCCAATAGTAAGGAATAGATTACTAGCCCGAACACAAATCTAAATAAGGTATACATGTTACTAACCGGTTAAAGATTGTTGACGTTATTCCTTGTTTATCTCCGATACCAGAAACATCTCCAACAAAACAGACAGAGCTACAACCATGCAGTACTGGTAATAACACTGACAGTTCGTTCACGAGGTTGATGTCGTCTAACAGGACATGATCAAACTTCTCTTCATATAGAATATCCATACCAACATCTTCATATTTACACAATACCAACTCAAAAAAAAAAAATAGAATTTCAAAATATCAAGCATGTTGTGTTCACCCTCAGAAAGTAATACAGACGTAACAGAAAGCACAAAGGTTTGTTCGATATGCGAACTCTTCAAATCAGAAGGACTCTCTGGTGTTCAGTCTATTTATTTTATCAAGGAGAATGTTAGAGATACATTCCCGCGTACAAACTTTGTGATTTGATGATATATTTGGACTAAAAACATATTCAAAGTAACCAATCTATCAAAAATTTGCTTCAATGCCCTCTCAAAACTTTGTATTCGCCGGGGATACCTATAGCTATATGTAAGCCGTTGTTAGACGCAATGTCTGTCAACTTAGCTTCATTGTGGGAGTGTCCAAATTTGACATACTTTTATTGGAAAGAACCACGCGATAAATACTTTTCTGGGAAAGTATCTTTAAAGTAGTACAACATCTTAAAATTTGTGGATAGTTGTTAAAAGGGCAATAATAGGACCTTAGGCAACGGAATTCGCTTACCTTAGATTGACCAAGAAAATCTTTATGAGTTGTTTTTATGTCGATATTTTTGGGCGATTTACTCCGGCAACGATTCTGTAACAACAACTTGTCTTCTTCTGCAGTACCCACGACATCCCTTGAAACCCAAACCATATCAGACTCCCCAACCCCGCGTGTACACAACAAACGGCTGCAATGTCTTATACCGGAATTTGCCTTGAAACATACCAAAACTCTTTCTTTAGGATCCTGATGCATCAAAAGATAAACTATTTCAACTAATGTCCGCGTTTTACCGGTACCTGGAGCTCCATTGATGATGGATACTTGACGAGTTAGTGCATCTGCAACAGTTGCTCTTTGTGAGTCATCAAGATTCTTCTGGTCAATTTCCTTGTGGACATCCTTGACGTGACGACCATTGCTCTTGAAACTTACATCATGACGTCCCTGAGAAGGCACCGGTCCGATTTGCTGATTATGCAATATAGAATTTATGCCACTAACATGACAAGATGTAGCATCCTGGGCATCCAACCCATCATCGCCAGAGTCCGGTTTAATGGGGAAAATCCCGGGTGCTATTGGACATAAATCTGGAAGCCGAGGTGAAGCAAGGGGAGGAAACCCCGAAGTCTTAATATTTTGATAAACAGAATCATGACAACAGACTATTTTCAAAGCTTCTACTTGTTTTCTGTACCAGGATAAATTAGGGAAGTCTTCAATCTGTAGGATCTGTCCGGACAGTTCGGTCAGTTCTACTGTTTCTACATTCTTCCTAGCATCCGTCGTTTTATCAACCCTCACCGTCAAACATTTTGCTAAATCCGGAAAAATACAAATTAACAAAATTAAAATTTAGTAGGCTAAGCCATGTTGCATTTACCGGGTTAATGAAACTAGGCACACGCCATGCAGTCTGCTATGAGGGAAGTGTTTCGGCTACTCATACGTACCCGCCAACGTGAACACGAGGCCTCGGTGTTTCGTAATGCTAGGTTCCCACTGCCGTGCGATGCATTACGATAGAAATGCCCCCATTGATTCCACGACCTGGTACGTGCAGGTACGTTCGGATACGTTTCGACACGATCATCCCGATTGCTAAGACACATCTCAAGGTATGATACGACCTGATTGGACCAACACGATTACTCCACGAATAAAACCACGATTCCAATCGTAGCGCGAATCGTGTCAGTGGCAACCTAGCATTACTCTGTCCTACACAACTGGACATAGGAAATCAGGTTAGAGAAAAAAATCCCGAGGAACTGTCTTAGCCGAACTGTGACCTATAGTTAGGGAGTCTCTTTGGCAAACCATTACAATGAAGATATTTCATATAATTTTGGACTTTTTACCCTATATTCGAGAGTGTGGTTTAACGTTATACGTTTCTGCACCGAAACACTGTCATTATTTACTTGAGAACGACAAGCGGAACTTGTTGAAACGTAGTGTGAAATAAACTCAGTGATTGTTTTCCATATAAATTGTGTTTTATTATTGCACTGACAGGTATAGTGAAGCTGGGCGTAAGCCATGCAGTGTGCTATGGGGAATATTTTGCTCTGTCAGGAGCGCTACAGCATTCTCTTTTTTCGATTCCAAACTAACTTCTACATTCTACCAATGGTATACAGGGGGGGGGGGGGCGTTTTTCCGTCCCTCCCAAACATCTAGACGTAACAAAGAGTAGGATCGCCTGTCCAACCTCGTGGGTTTACTCCGGGTCTTCCAGTTTTCTCCCACTGCTAAAGACCACTACGCGCAAGCAAGCAAATTATTGAAACAAAGTTGATTGAACCCTATGTTAGTCCCCACCTCTCTCTCTCTCTCTCTCTCTCTCCCCTCTCTCTCTCCCTCTCTCTCTCTCCGTCACACCCGAATGATATAAAAATTGTATATTTACGTGAGCACTGGACGACCTCTCCATAAAATCGGTTATAAATTGTCTGACACGGCTTGGGTACTTGTGTCAAAACCACTCCAGAACCAACAAGAAACTCTGGTGAAGTATCTTTCTTGTGAGCTGTATTCAGATTCAGAAGGCCTACTCCGGCGTACGACGCCTCGGCAGTTAAAATATGTTTATTGCTTATCCTCATACAAGCCATCATTTCACATCTGTTGGCGTCCCTTACAGCTTCAACAGTCAATCGACTTGTCCATTTTAAAAAGTAAAGTTTAGCGTGAAGGGAGTAGAATTCATTTGTTGCTATTGGAAACAATCCTATAGAATATACAAAAAGAATAAAATGCAGGTACGTTCCTGTCCGTTTCTTTGGTTCATCAGTCAGCCTTTTGCCTCAAAAACAAAGTTGAATCATCTAAAATGTTTTAGCTATCAATACCCCCACTCCCATCCCTAACGCTTTAAGGTATTGCGTCACCGCCAAACTGTCTAAAATATTTCTGTTTTGGGTTCAAACACTAACCCAGCACTCAAAACGCGGGAACATTTAAGAAATGCACGAAGACATGCTTCGTCCTATATAACATCCAAAGACATTGATAATTGGAAACTATGAGACTGCCGTAAACAGAAATCAGAATTAAAAATGATAAAGAGAATGCTAAAAATAGTTCATAAAATATGAATAATTACCTATTTCAATTTCTTTAAGGAGATTTATGACGTCAGGATTACAATTCTCCAGATAAATGACGTAATCCAAGAAATCCAAATAATTCTGCAAACTGAGATAAATTCCCTTTGAGTCAATTTCTTCTAAATACCTGAATTTTAAACATACATTATGCAAGAGCTAAATCTGCCTATTGTAGGTCTTTCTTTAGGCCTGGAATGTTATATAAACTATTAATTAGACATTTATTAACATGACAAGACCATAATCAACACTTGATGGCATCGGACACTCGAGATTTTAACTAGATTAGAAAGGTTCGCCATTTAAAAATGGAAAAGTGAGGCTAAGTCTTGAATATATCAGTGCTCTGGTTACCACAATGCACACATCTTGTCAAATCTACAAACCGTGATAACTTGGCTCAGAATAAAGCAATTTGAATGGAATTTTCAATATTCTCTTTTTATATCATCTATTTCTGAATGATTATAGCAAGAATGACCAACTCTTTATTAAACTCTTAATTAATGTATCTTTAAATTAAAGTATAAAATAAATGACATCATTCAATATTCTTTTTGTCACCAAAATTCATTTAACAGATTTTTAAAGAATTAACGTCCCACTGCTCCGATTGGGCTAATGAAGACGGGCACACGCCATACTGTGTGCTGTGAGGAAATTGTGCCGAGAAAGTGTGCCCGGAAAGCCAGTGCACACACGAGACCTCGGTTTTTCGTCTCATCCGAAGGACTGTACGTTGTCACTGAGCCACGGTAGCTCCAGAAAATCGTGCAGCTCCCAAGAAAAAGACAAATGTTAATAATTACATGTAGTTTTAAATCTCGCGATACATATCTACGTATAATACCTTGAAACTTTGCGGTACATCCCCCCTTTAGTTCTGGTTGTTGAAGAGACTAGTATAATAAAGACTTTATAAAAATCATCAGGACGCAACCTCAAGTTTTGATACTTCCATAGATAGTGTTGTAGTCTTTTCGCTATGTGCTGTGATAGCTGAAATATAAAATGATCGCCTCAGAACAAAACAGACTCAATCATGATCATATTCATTACATTGGCAATGGAACTCATCCAGTTGTATATAACATAGCTAGATCTATTTCACATGCACACCTGCAGATTACTCTAAGGTCACGAGATGTAAACAGGGTTAGGGCACGTGATTGTTGCCGAGAATTGTGGATTAGGTTTAAGAATTTGGGGAGAAGGCTAAGGGCTAGGGCTTGGAATCTTTTCTAATACCATAGTCGCATGAACTTGATTTTCTCAACAACAAAATAGATGTCGAGAGTCTTGACTTTAGTATCAGTACCACCATTCAGAGGAGCAACGATGGCTCAGTGTGTAAGGTGAGGTCCCAGGTTTGATCCCCATTTAACCGAGGGAGTTCGCCGTGGTTTCCACATGTCATTAGTTCTGTACTGATTCTGATGGAGCACCCCTTTGTGTCCATTAAGCCGTTTACCGATAAAAAGTACAACGTATATTTGTGAACCACGAGAACGTTATCCTTGAACCAGATAATCATCTTACCTGTAGCTCTGATTCTCCCATCAGTGAAATCAACTGACCAATTTTACTACTCGTGTGTTTTACAGCCTTTTCTGTTTCTCCGGACTTGTCCATCTCCTTATCGATATCTTTACAAAGTCTCTCAACATAATCAAAACCTTTTTCTTGTGCATGTTGTGTGCTAAAGGAAGCTCCAGGATCTCCAGGAGCTAGTTTAGTAGCGTTGCTCCTGTGACCCGGCTTTTCATTAGTATTTGTTATACCAGTTCGTTTGTTCAAAGAAGCTTTGTGACTTTCGTTAAAGCTTTCTGTAGCGTCCGATTTGTTAATAGCTCTCTCAGATCTACCTATATCCCGAACATACAGCACCGGTCCATCACGAATATCCATCACACCACAGAACAATTCACATTTCCCAATCACATCTTTCTGTATTTTGGAATCTCTGTGTTTTTCAAACAATGGTCGAGAGAACCTCTGTAGGGCGATGCTGACGACAGTTTCATTAGTATCCAGCATCATCAGGTTGATGAAGGTGCTCTGTTTATTAGTTCCTCTGGGGTACATCTGCAATCGATCTGGGTGCAGAATGACCTCGTAATCAGAACAAATGTCCTTCTCGTCTCCGCCATCTCTTAGAGATATGAATGCTGACATGGGAGAATGCGTGGACGTGTGTTTTCGCAAGTATCCGGGAAAAAGCATGGACACTTTCCAAACACCACCATCTCCCCGTTGAATAGGGAACGCAATCAGTATTAAACGATCCGAGGTCAATTCATCCACAAGAAATTTCCAGTTGAAATCATCCTGTCGCATCTCCGCCATCTTACACCAGCTCACCCGGTGAAAGTTTTGGATCTTTGCTCTGTGTGCTGGACTCAGCACTTCTGATTTTGACAATCCATTATAAATTATGTTCCTGTCCAGTATGTCTCCAGGACAATCTACTTCAGCCAACCATCGCTGATGCTCCGTAAATCTTGTAAAATCAACAAACCGTTCACACCAGGTTTGTAAATCTTCTTGTCGTTCCCGATAAATGCACCATTTGTAAATAATCCGGTACAAATCGAAGTCGCTCATTGCAAGATTCGGGTTGGACAGGAAACGGTCCATCTCTTTCTCTGTTAACAGAGAATGATGATCATTTTGGGTGTCAGATTTGGTTATCTCATGTTCGTTGCTGTAAAACATCTCGATGTTTCTCTTGGCATTCTCCATCAACTGATCGATCACACTGTTCGATTGATTTCCAACTTGATTCGTCTTAGAATGTACTGATGAACTAGTGCTGCCCGTTTTAGCTGAGTCAATCATCTCTCCGTGTGTACTTGCCATCAATCTGGCTTCAGGAGAATCAAATTCCAAATCATTAAAATCTTTGTCGAATTTTCCGATCTTAGAATTATCAAACTCCGAGAAGAATTTGATCATGTCGGTCTGCCCAACTGGTTTTGGTGATTCTAGTTGTTTTGGTGTCGACTTTGAAGAATCTAAAAATAAAATATCACGGAAATGAAAAATACGAGTTTGAAGTAAGTCTATGATAACGTACAACAGATTCTGGGAGAGCTTGTTGTTCAAATCTGTTTCTTCTTGACTGTATTATTTCTAAGAGTGACTGTTTGACAAATATCTTTAATACTCACGTGGTGTTACGTTAGAGATTGGCTGCTGTGTTCGTTCTGGTATAAGGTCCTTATCCCAACATATAAAATACTTATCACCATCTAAATCACTTCCTGCTATCTCATCTGATACTGGTCGCTCTCCTGAAGATAAAATACAGAACGGTAATAAAATGGTATTGGATCTTGCAACAAAGTTGGTTCTTCGGCACAAAAAACAAATTAATCGCAATAATAACTACCGGAGACCCACAACACAAATCATTATCAACTCGGGTCCTAAAAGACTATGAGCGGATCACACAGAACTCACGGGCACTAAGTCGTGAAAGCACCGCGAAATCAAATGGACTGATCTAGGTTGTGGATAGAAAATGCGGGTTATAGTGATCAATTTTGGTTCAAATGTGGGACATAAACCACAAGTGGTTGGTTGGTGAGACGGCTATAAGCAATGAACCCCCTCTGCCTGACAAGACAATGAACTAAAAACCCGATATAGAAATTACAGTAATTTATGCCCCCTCCCCCTCCTCTCCCCAACACATATTTGAACAATAACTCTTAAACTTTATAGATGAACTCCCGCACACACGCTTTATAATACCAAAGCTACTACAAGCCATGACTTGTATTTGAGTTTAATACCATAGCCACTGCAAGCCATGACTTGTATTTGAGTTTGATACCAAAGCTACTACAAGCCATGACTTGTAGTTGAGTTTGATACCAAAGCTACTACAAGCCATGACTTGTATTTGAGTTTGATACCAAAGCTATTACAAGCCATGGCTTGTATTTGAGTTTGATACCAAAGCTACTGCAAGCCATGGCTTGTGTTTGAGTTTGATACCAAAGCTACTGCAAGCCACGACTTGTATTTCATTGAGAAACCGGAGTTATTGACCCTCCAAAATATTATTTACCTTGAGTTGGAAAAACGACACAATCCACCAAATGTCGTAATTTCTGGTTATCAACACAATTCAGCTTTCTTAAATCACCAGAGTGATAACATGGAGACTTGACAACAATCACCCGACCAGTTATAATCTTGGCTGTTCCTAGAACAGTTGGCTGGAAGAAACACGTCCCAGGTTTTAGCGTCCCCGAGATATCACAAACTCCGAACACGTTACGGGAATTCTCTATCGGAAAATTTAACTTCCCCGCTTTGCTGTATTTATAGTTGATTCCTTCCTCTGTACCAGATGACTTCTCCAACATGAAGGCTCTTTTACGCAGCTTCGTCAAAACTGAAATTGCTTGATCACTTAGTTTTCCATTAACAACGAAGTCCTCGATTAATTCCGGTCTTTTCATCATCGCCAAATACTTCAAGGCCAGATAGGGCTCTAGATTAAAATCCCTTTGGATTTCTGCATAATATTGCTCCTGTTTTTCCAGGAAAACGTGACGCTGGATTCCTAGGTCCGATAAAATGTTAATATACTGTTGATTCAGGTGCCCGTAGTTGTACGGCCAGGATATTCCATGTGATACGAAACCAAGGAGAATAGCTTTCGGATTAAATTCAAATTTGACCATCGATTTTCTAATATTGAGCATATCAGGGGCCAGAGATTTATCAACAACAACTGTCCCTTTAAAACCCTTTAAACGAATTTGGAACACAGACGGACATTCGGGTTTCTGGTGTTTATAAATCTGCTGGTTTTTGCCAAGGGAGTGGAAAAGTCTCAGTGCTAACGATTCTGAAACACAGCCACAACCCTCGGTAAAAATAAAATTATTTCGTTCTACATCATCAACGATTTTAATTTGGTTCTCTTGGATTTCGATCTGACAGACGACATTCGAGAATAACAAACCAATACGCAAGCTCCGTTTGGAAATACTTTCAATTTGCCCTAAATCACCGAATGTTTGAATAACGTCGTCATGGCTACCGAGCTGTGATTGGTTATACAGATAACACTCCTTCTCGCTGCTGTAAATCTGGTTCCTTGTGTATCCAAAAAAAGCAAAATGATTTTCTTGTCCATTTTCCTTTATAATTAATCCTTTGTTTAGCAGCTGATGAATCAAATCACTGGGACACCTTTTATCAAACCGAATCAACATAAAACAAGACGCGGGAAACGTTCTGAACCCGTGACAAGATGGCCGAACTCGCGTCTGCTTAATTTTAACTCTAACTACAAAATCACTTGTTGCCAATGCACCCATCTGTCTGGGTGGACTTTTATTTTTTAGGTCATCGGGAATATCAACCTTGGGAATTTCTGGTGCATCACTGGATAGATTTATCTCTCTTCCGTGCATTGGATGTTCCGATATAGGCCTACTTTGGTGAGCTTCCTCTGTTTTTGAGATTTCTGATAAATTCTGGATATCAGTGGATTTTCTAGGATTGTTTATTTTACCAGCTGTTTGTCTGTGGTAAATTAAAGTTGATTTCAATAAATCGTCATCTGTTTTCGTCGCTTCCAACACATATGATCCTTGTTCAAGGAACCTGGTCACTGGAATCCATTCAGTATTCTTCATCTTTCTGGAAGAAAAAAAAGAAATCTGTAGGCCTAACGTTCCGCCCAGACAATCTCAAATTTGTTTCATACCTGAGCGCACATTTGAGTGATCATAGACAAATGTAGAATCGCCTAGAATGTTTTATTTAGATGTTTGGCGGCACGGCTGAAAATATGTTAGTCCCGAAATGACCTAGTTGGTGTCGAGTGGACTGTAAATCCCATCTCTCTCTCTCTCTCTCTCTCTCTCTCTCTCACACACACAATCATTCACATGCGGGAGCCACGGTAGCTACATGAGTAAGGCATTGGCTCGCTTACCTGGAGATCCCGTCAATCCATCCGCCGAGAACGGTCAGCGAGATTCTCCGCCGTGGTTCTCCCTTTGTCAGTGTATAGTCGTTCGGATGGGACAAAAACCCGTGTACAATTTGTCGCGCACTTAAAAGATCCATTGGCAGTTGGAATTCGATGTGAATAGGCCGTAGCACCGCTGTCCGAGCACTATTTCCCTCATAACACACTGTATGGCTTCTGCCTGTCTTCATTAGTCTACCCCAGTCGGAGTAGAACAGTAGGAGAGAGAGAGAGAGAGAGAGAGAGTGAGAGAGAGAGAGAGAGAGAGAGAGAGAGATGGGGTTTAACGTCCACTCGACACAAACTGGGTCATTTCGGGACTAACATATGGTTTAATTTTATTTCAATAATTCGCTTGCGCGTAGGGGTCTTTAGCAGTGGGAGGAAACCGGAGGACCCGGAGAAAACCCACGAGGTTGGACAGAACAGTAGGGCGTCCAACCCTATTTAATTTATACATTTCAACAGCATAATTCCAGGGAAATGGCTCCCCTTTGTCCAATGCTTTGACACACACCAGACGACAAATTGGGCCTATCAAAACTTTACTTACATTTTCGATTTATCTTTACATGGCTTCCATACACCGGTATTCTTCGTGTTACTGTACCATGACTATACTAAATCACGAACCCACAAACTCTTCCGAGATGACCAGTGATGTTTAGTCTCCTCGACCAGAAAAGCTATACACAGGAACTGAATTGTTGACTGTAAGAGTTTCTGGGTAATTACTGGCGTAATCGTTGCGTAAAAGCTCGTAATAGAAATCACATAGATCTATATTTAGAAAGTTTATTCTGAGAAAAGTAAACTATGGAAGCAAATGTGTAACATTTAAAACGCTAAATTAAACACACGTGTTCTATGGAAACCAATCGAAGCTACGTGTGTTTAATTGAATGTGTTTGAGTACTAAATGTCGTTTAAAGGAGCTAATTTTCTATTCTTTGGCAATTCCAAAATGGACATAAATAGGTCGTTTCGTTTTTATGGTTCAAAATTTCGTTTTACTTGTCTTTACTACACTTGGATCTGGAAGACTTATTATTTAACTCGTGTTCTTCTTGAAATGAACGGGTCAGCCAATCAAATGGTCTGTCGAATCGAGTGTTTGACCTTTTTTGCCCGGAACTGTGGGTAATCCACTAGTAACATCAATGCTGATTGGTTAATCAAATGTCTGACGTCATAACGCATACAATAATGTAGTATAAAAGTATATAAACTGATTTACATTCAATCGTTTCTGTTTTTACTGTAATTTATAATCAGTTATGTTCGGCGAACTACGCGAAGAGTCCAAATTGAATGGCAGTCTGTGTCGTCTGGTTATTCCGTCTACACCGGCAGCATTCTCCTGTGGGATATGTTTAGCCTTCTTCACCAAGTCACTTCATTACAAATGGCACCCCAAAGCCGTGTGCCAATTTTAACATTTTCATTTTGTCTTAAATATTGGATATTAGAAGTCCATCTTTTCACGGTAAGATAACAACACCAATGTTGATATAAATTGACCAATAAGTCGTGTTTGCAATGTCGAAGACTGTGAACGATATTGAGTTAGCGGCTTGCCTCCTTTAAAGAGAGAGAGAGAGAGAGAGAGAGAGAGAGAGAGAAATGGGGTTTAACGTCCACTCGACACAAACCAGGTCATTTCGGGACTAACATATGCTTTAATTTTTTATTTCAATAATTCGCTTGCGCGTAGGGGTCTTTAGCAGTGGGAGGAAACCGGAGGACCCGGAGAAAACCCACGAGGTTGGACAGGCGACCTTACTCCTTGTCACGTACAACCGGGGAATCGAAACCACGCCAGGTGGCTCAATGACAGACTTTATGGTACAGTGCGCACGTGCTAACCATTCAGCCATCCCCTCTTTGCCTCCTTTAAATAGTAAATCAAAATACTCTTTGACCATATACTACTGTATGTTTGTTTTGTATTTTTGTTTTACTGTACGCATATACATATATTTATGACAATTGATTTATTTTGTTGAATTCGTGTGCCCAGAATACCGCGCCGATCATTCCACTTCTACAGCGGTTATATTCACAACCGAGAATTCTCGCCCTTATGATAGCATGGATCACCCAGATTATTTATATTTATATACATGTATTGAAGCCGGTGCGAAGATGAGGGAGGGGTGTGGAGTACGAACAGAACACCGGTGAATTTTTGCTCGTCTTTTAAAATCACCTAGATTGATGAATAAGTTCTGCATCGTCTAGGGCAACTCCGCTGTTTCCAGCGACATTCGTTAAGGTTGCGGTTTCAAACTAACTGTCCACGTGAAGAGTAGAGAACGCTAGTGGTGATTTGACCTAGTATTGTGCAAAGTTAATCAAATAAAATGGGGTTTAACGTTCTACTTTTCTGCACCGACCGGGCTAGTGCAGACAGGCATACACCACACAGTGTGCTATCAAGGACATTTTGCCCGGACAGCGGCGTTTCCGGCTACATTTTATAGAATTCTAACTGTCAAGGATCCACTGATCACCATGGATACTAAATCTTTACAGAAATGAAATGAAATTAAATAGGGTTTAACATCCTACTGTTCTGCTCCGAACTGGGATAATGAAGACGGGCATACACCATACAGTGTGCTATGAGGGAAATTTTGCCCGGACAGCGGCGCTACGGCCTACTCATATATCGAATTTAACTGCCAGGGGATCTTTTACGTGCACGCCAGTGTGTACACGGGACTTCGGTTTTTCGTCCCATCCGAACGACTAGACAGCTGTCCTTGTCAGGCCCTCCGTCCTGCATCACTGACAAGGGGGGAAACCACGCCGGGAAATCTGGATGAACTTTCTCGGCCAATGCAGGGATCGAACACCCGACCCCAAGGCTAGAGAGCCAGCGTCTTACCCACTTAGCCACCGTGGCCCCAAATCTTTACTGAAGTCAATCCGGTGACAATTCAGTTTCATTCCGTTTCCGTACACTTCCAATGCCTCCACTCTCTTTAAAACTAATAAATAACGTTTTTTTTTACAAAATATAGACGAGCACTTGGAGATTAGAAGTCAATGTTTACTTTTGCAGCGGTATCTCGAACTTAGAATTCAGAATTATGAACTGTTTTTTAGAATGTAGCCTCGTGAAAATGGCCAGCATCAAGCCAATGACAGAAATGAAATGTAACGTCCTACTGTTGTAGGCAGATGACCTGAGAGAGAGAGAGAGAGAGAGAGGGGGAGACACGCACACACACACCTACACACACACCCACACGCAACCCAGGTCATTTTGGGATTAACACATTTTCAATTTTATTTCAATAATTCGCTAGCAGTGGGAGGAAACCAGGGGGCCCCGGAGAAAACCCACGAGGTTAAACAGGCGACCCTATACTCCTTTCCACGTGCAACCGGAGAATCAAAACCAAGCCAGTTGACTCAATGACAGACCTTTTAATGAAGCGCGCCCGCGCTAACAAATCGGCCAGCCAACGCCCCAATAAATCCATAAAATATTTCTAACTTCTATTTCCTTTAATTACAGGCTGTATGTATATAACATTTATTTTTCTTTATTTACTCGCTACGGATATAACATTGTTTTCATCTTGACAATGAATAAAATCGGAAATGAGTAATTGTCAAGTCAAAAAGAAATTAAGGATAAAGAGGCGATTTCTGGTTAATTTTTTTACAGCTTAACGTTAAAACGTCCTACTTTCACCGAGAGTGATATCGCAGACAATGGATATTTCTATTACGTTGTATACACCTTTTAATACCCGATATAATAAAATATTGTATAAGTTACTATTAATAGCTAGTTTTAATCCCCATATAGCGTGATAAAACGCTTTGATCATTGGCCAAGGGAAATAACTCTTCTCTGACCGACCACACCCAGTGCACAGGTTCACAACGCTAACGTTACCGATACACGTTCATAATAGAACGGTTCGTGGAGTATTATTCAACCAATGAAATGCGTGGAAATCGACCTATTTTTAGTATCGTGGACTGCAGCTATATATTCTATAGGTTTTAAACGAGGACAGTCATACAACTACAAGTCGCTTCGTGTTCATGGTGTCACAGTGACTGTATATGGACTTAACTAACAACTTTACTGAGAAATACTTACGGTTATCCAGGAAATTATATACTAGCCCGATATTGATACTCAGATAAACCGCAAAGTGGGCGGTGTGTTCATTATATTAAATTTATATTTGTCAAAGCAACTGGTAAGTAATTTATATATTTATAATTTTTAGTTGTGGTAAAATATGGACGGTCATCTCGTGACACGAAAGATATATATCGATGTTCGGCTTGACTTATTTGTCCGGTCTCTCAACTGACCCTATCCTACCGACTGACTGTTACCTGTTCGCTACGGGAACGACGCTAATACTAATGTCGAGATAAATCTATACTGGACAAATCGCGCTTGCAGTAACTTAAAGCTTGTAATATTTTGAAGATATAAAAACTGTTGTGGCAGGCCTACATTGTTGACCCCACCCCGTGCAAATGGAAGCCAACCTTACCTGTATATTTGGATGTCACATGCTACACTACACCTGGGCAGGTATATACACCGTCTATATCTTCTATTGATTTAATTATATAAAACTGTCAGCGGAATGCCGGGGGGGGGGGGTGTCGAGTGGTCAAACACCATTCCTATCTATTTTATCACACAGATTTAAGCTCAACATAAAATCCAGTTGTATTTGAATATTGGAAAAAAAAATTAAACACCTGTGATCATAAATTTTACACCTGAAATGACCTAGTTTTTGTCAAGTTTGACAGTCGTCAACGATCAAAAATTTTACTCCTGAAATCACCTGGCCCCAAGTTCACAAAGCATTCTCAGACTTAATTTAAGAATTTACTCAACTTTCAATCACTGTTTATGAGAAATATCTTTGATCCAGAAACACAAAACTTTGCACATAGTTTTTTATTGATGCATTTGATACATTAAAACAACAAAAGTTTTATAAAGGGCTTTAGTTTAGTTACAATAAGACGAACACTCCTGAGTAAATTCTTTTTGAACTCTGAACCATGGTTTGTGTCACTTCAGTAGAAGCAGGCATTAAAGCAACAAGGTAGTAGTAAGCACCAGCGATCATAAATCACAACATTTCAAATTATTTACAATTAAAGATAGACAGTTTTTCATATATTTACAATTAAAGATAGACAGTAATATTATATATTTACAATTAAAGATAGACAGTAATATTATATATTTACAATTAAATATAGACAGTTTATCATATATTTACAATTAAAGATGGGCAGTTTATTATATATTTACAATTAAAGATAGACAGTACATGTATATTATATATTAACAATTAAAGATGGGCAGGTTATTAAATATTTACAATTAAAGTTAGATAGTGTATTATATATTAACAATTAAAGATAGGCAGTTTATTATATATTTACAATTAAAGTTAGATAGTGTATTATATATTTACAATTAAAGATAGTATACATTTACAATTAAAGATAGACAGTTTATTATACAAGTATAAATGCATGTTTAGTAATATCAAATCTTGATGTTACCAAGATGAGTTAGAAGACTATTAGACTGCGACGAGAAGACAACGGCCGGGCTGGCCCTGGTAAACAAAAACATAGTTGCGACAAACAACGTCCCCTTTCATCAGATTTACTGAACCGGAGAATTATTTATATGAGTCTAGGGGTAGAATTGTGTGTATTGCTGTAATAATAGGGATGTTTGAATGAACGCTTGAGAAAGCTATGACTATAAATAAATACATAAAACTTTTCTTTCGTAGCTGCAGATGACCCCCCACCCCCTTATCATTACTATAAGGGCGGCTTGAATAAAGTATATAATCCATGTCTGTATTAAGTTGACTGTATGTGTGATTGGAATATAGTCATCCTATGGCTATAAAGTTTAAGTTACAAGTGGACTGTGCGATGTGTTATTGACAATAGGAATGTAACACTGGAGCAAATGACCTTTGACCCCAGGCTGTTTTATATATACCTATATAATAGATAGTATGTCACATGACATTTATCATCTCGTGTGTTAATTTCACCACAGTATAAATTCCAGTTTTATCTCTTATACTTTACTATACATGTATATAATACACCCTACAGGCTGAATACTCTTACCCTACAGGTTAATCACGTATATAAAATAAAATCAAATGAGGTTTAATGTCCTACTGTTCTGCTCCTATCGGGCTAATGAAGACGGGCATACGCCATATCGTGCGCTATGAGGGAAATTTTGCTTGGGCAGCGGCACTATCGCCTACTCTTAGATCGAATTCTAACTGTCAAAGGATCTTTTACGTGCACCCCAATGTATACACGGGACCTCGGTTTTTGGTCCCATCCGAATGACTAGACAGCTGTCCTTATCAGGCCCTCCGTCCTGCACCACTGGCAAGGGAGAAACCACGTCGGAAAATCCAGATGAACTTTCTCTGCCAATGCAGGGATCGAACATGTGACCTCCAGGCTAGCTGCCGTGTCTTCCTCACGTATATAAACCTACACAATAAGTAGACACTGCTTGATGTATGCCACCTTTCATCAGACGATATCCGCGCGTATATATGAAAATTCATGTCCAAACATCGCTACAATTAGCCACAAATAACGATAAGTATCGTAGTCGAAGCAAGGTATGCTTACGCTTTGAAGAAATGAAATGAAATGGTGTTTAACGCCCTACTGTACTGCTCCTATACTGCTCCTATACTGGGCTAATGAAGACGAGCATACGCCATACAGTGTGCTATGAGGGAAATTTTGCCCGGGCAGCGGCACTATCGCCTACTCTTATATCAAATTCCAACTGCCAATTCCAATATATACACGGGACCTCGGTTTTTCGTCTCATCCGAAGGACTAGACAGCTGTCCTTGTCAGGCCCTCCGTTCTGCACCACTGACAAGGGGAAACCACATCGGAAAATCTGGATGAACTTTCTCGGCAAATGCAGGGATCGAACACCCGACCTGCAGGCTAGCGAGCCAGGGTCTTAACCACCTAGCCACCGTGGCTCCACGCTTTGAAGAATACCTGATACCACTTGATTATTAATTTTTATGTAGAAAATCGGATACCACTTCAAATAGCTAACAATCTTTTGTATTTTTTCCCTATTAAATTTCCTAATCATTTGATGATATGTATGGTCATGAAGATGACAGTTATTCGCCCATCCCATTTAAATAAATCTCATGTAAAATCTTTCAGTCAGCTTATAGAATTCATTTCCTTAGGTGTACGTTTTAAATCAAAGTGATATTAAATTGTATATGTTTATGTTGAAGACATGTATATAAACATTTCCTCCTCTAAGTTACAACTTAAAGATAAGAAAAAGTCTTAAATCAACTTTAAAGGGTCAGTCTCGATTTTATTTTCGAAAATAAAACTGCTTAATTTTGTATTTTAATCCCTTAAAATCTCTAGCTTAGGGCGGAGCAACTAACTCAACTTTATAGGGTCAATCTAGACTTTTTTTGAAAATGAAACTGCTTAATTTTGTGTTATAAGCCCTTAAAATGCTCTACCTTAGGGCCGAGCAAATGTGATACATTTAAACCCGTCAATCCTCGTCTGGAAATGAAGACCTGTGTCCTAAGCTGTATTATACGGTGTCTGGATAAAACCAGACTTTTATTTCATAAAAATAACGTGTAGGTGAAATTTACCTTTCGTTATCAAGTACAGCATGTGGGTCATGCACTGTATATACCCCTAAAGGAACGGCAGTAGATTATCAGGTCACCCAACGAAAAAAATAACCCGAAATCTTAAAAGGGTTAGGTGTTCGGATAAGAGGTAGTGACGTTCACGTCCAAACGAATCATATTTTGAGCTGAAATTTTGAGAAAAGGCAAATACAACTTTCCTCTATATTTTGCCGTTTAAATTTCATACATACTCGAACTTTTATTTCTTAGATTCTGTTAAATCGGGATAGTCCCTTTAAATAAAACGAAATGGTGTTTAAGGCCCTTCTTTTATAAAGACAATTCACCTAGCAATATATGTTTGTTGGATCGAAGCTTCGCATTTTTCCATGCCTCATACGACACTACATGTCCCCAATACCCGATATAATACATTTTGGCAACTGTTTGTCAATTTTATATTTCTAAGACGTAAATTGTTTGTGAGACGGGATGATAGGAAAGTTAGAGTTGGGTATAAGTAAACAATGGCGTCGATAACAAAATAAATATAAACAGGGTGTTTAGAGTAAATCTTGAGTCCAGGTTTTGTTGATTTTTTAACCTGAAGTACAGAAACGTGACAGAACAAAACAAAAATTTCGTCAAGATTTTTTTGGCCATGTTCCAAGAGTTGTATTATCGAAAACATGCAGTAAATAGGCTTACCAATTTATATCCTTATTTGGCGTGTCCTCTAATTCAATATTTATCAATGACTCAAATGATTTTACCTCAATGACACCTTGGTGGATTTAATAAACACTGCAATGGAAATTAGATATTATGTGTATTTAGATTAGTCAAATATCGAGGCTCTTCTGTGAATTTGATTCGAGGTAGGCCTACAGATAACGGGAGAGCGCCTGCCCTGGTAAAACCCACCTTCTTGGGTTGACTGTCATGCCGTACTGACCATCATATATTACCTAGCTAAGGTGTTCTTGAGGCTTTTACCTTTGTTTTTCGCGATCCAATGAATCACAATTCATTAACGTTTATAATAATAATAAAAAAGGAATCATGTACGATGCCGTTTTCGTTTTAGTCTTAGTTTGAAATGTGTATAAATATAATCATAGTTTGCTGTGTTGTCAAGGAGATTATTAAATTATTCCATAACCGTAAAATTAGAAGTATATTAATGGCGGGTCTCTCATGAAGAAAGTGGTTTTATATTTAACAACAATCAAACCAGCTTCGCTCTACACAGGGAACGCTTGTTACATATTAAATTAAAATCTTAAGACAAGTGACTTCACTGTACATAAATTGCGTGATAATCAGAAACAAATTCCACGTCACAACAAACTGCAGTAACATAATTATCTCCCCTTTGACCACTTGTATCCACAGACCACCTACATTGTGTTAGGCCACTTATACCTACGGGCAACCTAGTTTTATTAAACTAGATTAAGAATTTGAATATGTAATAATAGATAGTGACATAGATAGATCTGTAACAACAGGACAGGTGAGTAACC